GACGATCTTAAACAAGGAAAGAAGATGACGTTCCAGGAATTAAAGCGAGAAGCCGAGAATAGGGACAACTGGAGAGCTCTTTTTGGGCAGAGCAATGGACCTGTCGTAAGACAGAACACTTAATAATAATATAATAATAACTGGGCAGTAAATCCGAGGGACGCTTAGAGGACAGTTTCGCGTAGGTGTCCGGATACTTTTGATCAGGCAGTGTACATTAAGTTAGTGGCAGATAACACAGTTCTTCTGATAAGTATTACTTCTGCTTCTTTTTTCTCAAATGCATGTCTGGAAGGGGGAGAAGCTGTCTAGCACAATTCCTGTTTTTATCAGACAGGCCACTTACATTCGTCATGTGGCTGTAAACAAATTTCTTCAAAACATTATGTGTGGATCTTAAACTATAGGCACGTAAGAAAATGTCAAGTTTTCTTGGGGCTTAGCTTTGGTCACCATTTTAAAAACCTATTATAAATTATCATTTTTTTCTGAATATGAAAACCCTTCATCTTGAGAGTTCTGTAATTTTATAACTGTTAATGGTAACATCTTAATTTTGTATGTTTGAAAGAGCTGAAAAGATGCATTCATTTTTTATTAAAACTGTATAAGTAAATTATCACAGCAAATAATATGAATTTTGGAAAAACATTTCTAAATTTTTTTCTGAATTATAGAAAGCAGTAGATTTCTTTAATAAATATAAGCATATATAGTTATTATAGGAAGGTATTTAAACTGCTGTAATATTTTTAAGCTGACACAAAAATAACATTTTTAATTTTGTAATTCTACTGTTAAAAGTTTGATACAGAGAAAAGTTCCATCTGTATTAAATATTTCTTTTTGTTACTACACACATCTTTTACTGCTGCCCATTTAAAACCACATGAAGAAACATCAGGAAAATATGGTTTTTAAAAAATATTATTCTATTTTGTTTGGTTCATTAGAATGTTTCAGGTCCAAGTAACAGTTCTTTATCTTCTTCAGCTTCATTTGTGAATTTTAGTGTGGGTGTACTGAATTGAAATTTGTAATTCTTGTGTTAGGTTCATTATACATGTCTGAAATATCACATTACACTTTGTGGAATTCCACTTTCACACATTCAGTTGCTCATATATGCCCCAGTTCATCTCAGATTATTTTACAATGCTGTACAGCATTCTGACATGCGCATTTTGTCTCTCTAGTAATACAATGTCTTTATATTCAGTGTACATCATATCTAAAATATTGTACACTGTGTAAATATTTTTTATGGACATCAGTAATTTTTATCTTTGTCTTTATTTTAGCAGATGTGTAACATTTATGTAAAAATTGGATTCATATTGCCAATCCCTGTAACATTGCATAAAAGCATAAAAATAACTTCTTATATGTAGACCTGAAGGTGGCAATTTGAACTTTCCTAAACATTTGGCCTCAAGTTTTGTTATTTTATATTTTGTGTGTGACGTATTAATAAAATAATTGGCAAGTAAACAAACCTATATCTCCCGAGCAGTCTTTTCTCTTTAGGGAATTTTGGAGAAATATGGGAATTCTGCAGTAGTTACTATCTTTAATTACAATAAACCTGGACAAATCTTGTGGTCATGGCCTTCTGTGCAGAATTTTTTTCCTCACCACTAACAAAGTCAGAACTTTTATATCAGGAACATCATGCTACCAATGTGATTCAGATCCATTTTTAAAACTGATAATTATAATTTACACTATCATCCTGTCATATCCTCTCACTGGATGACTCAAACATTGTGGTTATCTGCCTTCACTTTTGCCAGACGGCCATACTGAGAGACACAAAAGCAAGAAATATGTTCCTGCTTCTTTGTTGCTGCATACATCAGTGAGCTTTTTATGTTGTGTGAGGTCTCTCATTCTCACTTGGTATCTTATAAGTGTCAATATTTTAATTTGATTGTGTTTCTTTCATCAGGAAAACAAACGAGAGGAGCGCAAAAAGCTTTGCGATGAAGATGCAATGCGCAAGATTAAACAGTTGGAAGAGCAAGCATACCAGTTACAAAAACAAGTGGCATCCCAGAAACAGGTAGATGGCAGTTGGACTTCACACAGCAACTTTAACCTTATGAGACCATTTGTAAGTTGCTATTACCTTGACTGGGTCTTAGTGTCTAGATATTGACTTCGTTATTTTGCGGGGAGGGGGGTTAAAAAATACATCATCAACCATGCCACTACTACTCTTTTTATAGACAAGGAAACTCACTACTTCATTTGAGGCATTACAGTGTTAGCATCTGAGTTAAGAGAGTTTTGAATGAGTAAAAATTGTACCTGTCCTCTGCACACAGTCTCTGTCTTTTCAGGCATTTAATGTTGGTAAGTCCCGTTCATTTTCTAATCAAGAAATGACAAACTGCATCTTCTGTTTAGTTTTTGTTAGCTGCTCAAAACATGGCCGTATTTTATGTGCATATGAAACTCTTAAAAGTATTGAACTTTTCACATGATTTTGATGTTAAATTAATTTTGTTCATAATATTGGTTGGTTTTCAGTTTGGTTTGGTTTTTAACATGTAACTTATATGAAGTATAAACTGCCATTAAGCTTCTTGATGGGAATATTGCTTGCACTGGAGGAAACCATACTTCCTACATCACTTTATTCCATGAAAATTTTATGTTACATACAATTTAGTGTTGGGTCACAGTTTTTTCCATAAAAATCAAAGTTCAACAAAGATTCACAAATGTTTGATGTATAAGAATTCAAACTTTGGAGCATTTAAAGAAAATTTGAAGATTGATGATTTTGAAGTATTTAAGGGTGTGGTCTTGATTGATTCACACTCTTAAATATATTACAACTTTATCTCAGCTTAGAGGAAATAACTTGCTTTGCTGGTGAGAATTATTGCATCTAATTATAAATGCAGATTAGTACGATTTAGTTTGACTTTCATAAAACAGACTGCATATTTAGTTTTTAAGTCTCCTTTTCGGAAACAAATTGAAAGGTAGTTATGATGTCCAAGGCCTTGTCAGTGGTTGTTTCTCTTAATAGCATTGAAAGGAATGTAGTGTGTGTTTGGAATGTGGAATTTCAAATTATGTTGTTTTATAGAATGAGTGAATGATTAAACAGCAGACCATGCCTTTTTTCTTTATGAGTGCAGGTTGTATGGGAATTAACATGATGCATTAACACACTGAGAGTGAATGGTTGTGTGAGTGTGTAGTGGTTTTGGACAGTGATAGGAGGTTTGTTTGTCATGTAGTCATTGAAGTTAGCGTGAACTGAAATTTGAGATTGATCTGTTGGATTTTAGTGATGTAGTATTCTGATATAATGGAGAGCAAATTAAACCTAAGAGATTCAGAGTAGTTACTAAAGTAGAAATCAGAAGATATGACACAGTGTTGACAAATTTATTTCTTTACAAACTATCACGTAATTTGAAACATCTGAACTTCATATCTTTGATGTCAAGAGGAAGGATCTAATTTATTCTACTGCTATAGTGTGTGGATGGTTCGTGCAGTTTTCCTATTGATCGTTACATTGTTATGTGCCCAAATTCCCTTCCCCTCTGCTTCCCTCCCCGTTCTCTTGCCGTTTACCAATGTTACATTCAGTAAAAGGTATATGTAAAGCCTCGGTATGTAATTTAAGTTTATCTTGCAAAGGTGATTAATTGGAGCACAAAGACATTCTCATGTCATTACTGAGGCAGGTTTGTATATATCTGATTTGTGTATTTGGTAGTCTGAATGCTGTCATGTGATGTGTAGGCTTTCAAGACCAGTTTTTTATTGCCTCAGCATTAAGAGATGCTGTCTTGGGTATTTTTTGCTTATCTGTGCTTTTGTAGTTAAAATTTTTAAAATAATATCTAGTTTCTTTACCATAATTTAAAATTTGTTCAGTACTGTGTGTTAACAAAATATTCTGAGAATTTGCCTTAAGAATAATAACAGTTACAGGCAAAAGCACAGTTTGCACAATGTAGTGAAACCTAAATAATACAAAAGCGCATGTGCTCATTTGATATGTACTGTTGAAATAGTCATGATTTTCATTGTTTTAAATTTGCTTCAGATGAAAAATTTCTGAGCATTTAGGATTAAAACAATTTGTGGTTTTTTAAAAAAAATTGTAAGTCATACTTGGAACAGTGCAAGAAAATACCATATATTGTTATGATCTGACTTTTTTAGAAGCAACAGAATTTCATATGAGGCCATAATTAAAATTTATGTTTTTTTATATGCCCAAATTGTTCAGTTATAATTTGCAAGTTTTTAGATAACGTTAAATTGTGTCCGAAGAAGTTATTTGTTTACAAATTCAAATCAAAATTACTAATATACATTGATTTTTAATCTAAGCAAATAATCCTTTTGATAAGTTTTATGTTTTAACTAAAATGTTAAACCAGTACACTAATTCATTATTACTAAACTGTTCTTTGAAATCCATTCATCTGTGATAACTAGTTTAAAAATGAATGCCACTTACAAAGCTGAGTTCTGTTCATTGCAATTGAAGGAAGAATTTTACATTATTTTGGTTTGTAGTTTATGTTTTTAATAAAAACAAAATGTGAGCTTGAAGACACTACATTACACTGCCTCACATTTTAGTGATTGGTGTTTTATATTTTGGAATAATTGCTCCAGTAAGAAGATAACATATCCCTTTGATGCAGTATTTCTTCGTATTTTAACTGAAGCATGGATTCTTTTAACCCTCATTGAATGGTTTCTGGGGTAATCTGATGAAAGAGTACACAGAAAAACAATGTACTATGATGTGCCTTTATGAAATTGTAATAAAAAACAAGAAGATCCATCAGCCTGTCAACAGTACTATATTAAGAGAATTTGCTTTAACAAAATCATAAACATTCCTTGTACAAATTCAAGAGCATTGTGGGGAAATGTTTTTGATTTTTTTTTTTTACCATTCTATTTTGTGTCCGCAAGGAAAGTCTTCTATTCACAGCTGATACAAAGCAAGCGACTTCCCTGCAGCCACATTCAAATCAGAAACAGTCATGGTTTGTCCCTGTAGCATGTGTTATTAGCATACACTAAAATTGGTCTCAGTATTTTGTGCTGTCATATTGATTATTTTAGTTTTATTTTACTGTATCAAGCACATTTTAAGTTTAATGTGAGCTGTGCATCATGTTTCGTATATTTTATGTCATACGTTGTAAGTGATAAACCAGTTTGACTGTCTTTATGGGGTTGCTTGTGTTGCATGTTGTATATTATCTATCATTCTAATTACTTATTTCTTAAAGTTACTTGTGCCATATTATTGTCCATTATCTGATCTAGTTTTGTGTTACTCTGCTAAAGTGGGAGTTGTACAGAGGTATTCTCTAAATTTACTCTTTATTAATTTGTTAATTTTCTCCTTTTTTATAATTGAGATCTGTAAGAGTCATAGAAGTTTAACTTTAGGGAAGTTTAAAGTATTTTGCTAAATATATGAGAGTAATTGTGAAAAATCCTCATATTTTATTGTGAAGAAATATAATTCCAGTTGAAATTAATTTGTAAGTAAAATTCTAACATGCAGTGAGATAAGGCTATTTTTACATGAAGTCCGGGCCCTGGCAAATGTAATTCTCTTTGCCATTGTTCAACCAGGCAACATGTACCAGTGATGTAAGCCTTCTTGTTACAGCATTGGAGGTAATTACAAACATTCTTCATTACATCAGCTTTTCAGAACTGTTGCCCACATGATCATCTTTCGGTAAACTAAAGTGGTGATAATCTGAGGATGAAAGATCCAGCCTATGTGGAAATGGGTGAATGGTCCATTAACAGCTTTATTTGCCTGAAGTGTTCACACGTTCTTATGCGGTTGGATATTATCATGAATGAACCCCATTCATGTCTTAGTTAGGACAAGATCATAAGCAGCATTTCAGTTTTGTTGTGCCTTAATATATTGTTCTGAGTTAATTATAGCATCCTGTTTCATAAATTCCATAACCAAAGATTCCATGACTTTACCTGCAAAAGACTGTGTTCTGAACTACTGCTTTCATAGTCACATCACAGACTGTCACTTGGTTTTGGGGTCATTATAATATACTCACATTTCATCATGGTAATGCATGACTGAAAATCATCACTTTCAGCTTCATAGCACTTTAGAGCTCCATACAGATATACTTTTGGGCTGTTATGTGTTCTTCTGTCAGCATCCTTCGTATCCATTGCTCACTTATCTTGAAAATATCTGAATTCCTACATGATGCTTATGATAATTGGTTTTTACATACCCACTGGCTAATACAACTCCTGTGTTGTGATGCAGTGATCATATTTAATAAGCATATAAACTAAGATAGATCCTGATATATAAAGTGAACCTTTTGTGGCGACTGAAGTTGATGAAAGACTCTTGGGTTACAAGCCGTGTCAGGTGGCTGTATGGTGAATAAATCATTTCTTCTGCCAATGTTTTGAGAACAATCTCTGCTCTCATCCTCAGGGCTGTTCTACAAAGGATCGGATTTGTTAAGCAGCAACCCTGATGATGAGAGCAGAGATTGTTCTTGAAATGGCAGAAGATATGATTTATTCACCATTCAGCCACCTGACAAGGCTTATAACCCGAGAGTCTTTCATTAAGATGGATCCTGTTTTCTGGTGTCACTTTTGTTGTATGTCTGCCTGTTTGAGACCTGTTGGTGATGTCGGATATGTTGCTCTTGAAAATGTCTAACATTGCAGTGATACTATTTACCATATACATTTGTTATATGCCTGTGAGTTTCCACTAAACTTCTTATGCAGTAATAAATTAAATAATTGCTCTGCTTAGTATGCACAGTTAAATGACGTAGCCACTTTGAAAGGGTGGCATGATGCTGTCAAAGAATTTATTACAGTACCATTTACTTTCAGACAGGAGCGTTTAGTTGAGATATTACACAGTTTTTCTGTGTTTACATCACAGGGTAGAATTTAGGAAGGCATTAATCAGTACTCAGTAGTTTTGTGAAGGTCTTGACCATGTATTTCAACAGAAATCCTGTACATGAATTCATACTTACACAAAATAAATCATTCAGGTTACAAAAGGTGGAAATGAGTTCTCAAAATATCTTG